CAGTTTGTTCATACCATACCTAAAAAAATCTGAGTGTCACTATATCTTATCACTTGACTTAAGAAAATAAACATATTTTCTTTAGTTTAGATAGCACCTATCACCTCTAAAAAGTCTTTGTTGCTTTACAATGCAAATTGAAATAGAGACCATATACAGATTACTTTGCCATAAAAATATAGCCATGTCTAATGGAAAATACAGCATCTGCTTAAGAGTGCACAATATCCCTACACAACACTTGTGAAAGTGAAAAATAGGATAGAATACATGAAACTACAACTAAATAAATTGAAAGTACCTAAACTATTGTTTGGCTGAGACACTGAGATTAAGAACTATTATTTGGCATAGACCCTTTTAGAAAAGTTTTTGGTGATTGTGCAGGACCTGGACTGATCTCATCTGAAAGACAGAATTTCCAATATCAGCCTGCCCTGACCCCATGTTGGAGCATTACACCAACACTGGCTCACAGGGAAGCCTGCTACTTGAGGAATCAGCAATGCTACTTGCTACAGCACCTGCATCAGACATGTCAGAGATCAACCAACTCAAGCACTTTCCTTGTGAAAGGGGAGAAAGGTGTTTCTCTCTCTGCCCAAATTTATTCTCTGCAGTAGAACACATATTAAACTGGTCTCCAAGTTGAATTATGCAAATAGTGGGGAAAAGTGAACATGTTGATACAACATATGAAAAAAAAAATACTAGATATAAAAATTCCACAATTTCAGCCTCAATGTGAATGCAAACAGAAGCATCCATTAGTGTGTGCATTTGAATTTTTAAAAAGTCTCTTTGCTGTTTTTCCACTTCCTGCTTTTATATTTACTTTCTTAAAGAAAAATATAAATAGCTAACCTATATGATTATCGATCCTTTTTACACAGTCTACTGCAAATCAAAATTCTCTCTCAACCCAAGCAAGGGCATTTACTTTACACTATATTTTAGAATTTTGCAAATTAATATTTTGCAGGAAATGCTTTAATTCACGCTGCACCTAAATATACCATTCAATGTTATTTATGCAACCTGAGAGACTTTAAGGGATGTGCACGCTTGATAACAAAGGACAAAATTTGCTTCTGACCTTCAAGTAATTTTATATGTACTATGTATCCATATGGAAAGGCTAAGTATAATATTGAACAGGTTAAAGTACAGCTTATTTCTAGCACTTGTAAGAGTGTAAATGTTATTCTCCCATCTACACAATTGATCCGGAGTTCAAATTTCCAATGTTTTTTCTACCTATGAAACTCACACCACCAAAAAAGGTCCATACAAAATCTCTGCTTATCACTGAATTCTTTTGTATGTTTCACTGTTATCTCAGCCTGCCACACTTTTTACCTACTATTCCCCCATTCATCTATATCCTTCGTCATTTTCTTAGAGATGGTCATTTTTTATCTGTCTACATACTGTAATTCCTCATTCCATTGTACCTATAAACCCTCATCAGAATACAAACAATAACTAATATCAATAATGAGGCCCATCACAGTAAATCTCTATTATTTGTTATTTTCAAAATAATGCTAATAACTAAATGTGGTTACAGTGATGCACAAGAGCCCTATCTGGATCACCTATACTGCAGTGAATTTCATCCTAAGAAAAATAACTGCACAAAAAGAAATGCAAGAATAGCTGTTCTTTTTCTTCAGCGCAGTAGAAAAGTCATTGCCATTGTCATTTGCCTACCAAAGAAGCCAGTTGTAATGGAGCATTTGGTCCTTCCCAGTCCATTTCACACTTTTCATTCAGCACATCATTAGTACAGAAAAGCTAAAATGAGTCATTTCCCCTCTACTGGCCTTTCCACTGAAATTCTACAACAGTGTTTCTCACTTTCTTAGAATTCTTTGGGATAGAAATATGCTGGATTAGTGTTTGGAAAATTTAAAAAAAAATCTTAAATTGACTTGTAATTACTGAAGAAGAAAAAAAATGACTCATTGCAAATACTGAAAGGAATTAAACAGATGCCCTTTCTATTCTCCCCAGAGCCATTAAGTAGAGCCTGGATGACTAAGCTTCAACAGTCACTCTTAAAAATATGGAACAGTGATGTAATTTTCAACACTTTTTCAATATTTTGGAAATGTCTTTTTACATGGTTAGTTTTTCCCTAATTAAAAAAAAATCATGGGAAAAAGTTTAATTGGTTTATTTAAATCACAGGACAGCAAAACTGTATTGATGAGGAAATAACACTTCCAACTGATTCATTTTCAGTTAGCTAATAGGTATAAAAGAACATTGATTTCAACTGAGCTATGACAATTTACACTGGCTGAGGATATGATAGCCTAGTATTTGTTAAACTGAAAGAATAGGTAGCTTTCTATTTTTACAGGCTCAGTTACAGGTAAGCCTCCTCTTTCCTCTGAATATTGACATAAGAGATTCCCATTGCTGGGAGACTTGATAAGCAGAAACAACCCATTAAAAAGGGTATAGACAGACCGAACAAATGTGTTGATATCAAAAGACACCAATATAAGCTGTTATGATGCAATGGTAAGATTTTCAAGATCCTATAGCAATACAAGGGTAGAAAAACTGCTTTATCCACTTTGAGCCAGCTTCATTAAATCAAAATTAAGGTAAGCTGGCTAATTTGTACAGGCTCAAGCAGAGGTAACAGTCACATTGTAACAGTTGATGAGAGCACTATAGCAGCAACTCCCCCTCCATTTTTAAAGCAGCTAAAAAGAACATCTGTCTATATACCCATGGTGAGTTTGTTGATAAGACTAATTAAGCAGTGGTGGTAGGACTGTTTCACCAATACCTGGAATCGAAGTTTTGAAAAACCTTAGAATGTATTATAGAGGTGCATCGATATATTGGTCCATATCATACTGGCACCAATAAAAGGAAAATTGACATTATTGGCAATTGGCTATTTTTGACCAATCTGGTCAATGTCACCAATAAATGCCACATGCATGCACATTTACTGCATGCACATGACCAGGAATGCAGCCCATCAGCTTGGAGATCAGCAACCATCCAGTAAATCTGGAGGGGGTTGAAAGAGGTGTGGCAGAGGGAAGGGGCGTGGGGAGCGCAGATTGAGGCCCCTACAGTGAGAGAGGGAGTGGGGCTGGGGCAGGGGCAGGCACTACCAAGCTGGGGCAGGGCAGGGCATGGGATGGAGCCATGGGCGGCTCATCCGGGGGGAAGTGGCTCCCACCGCTGCACACACCGCTGGGGGATGAAAGGAGGGTATGGGGCCCCTGGATTTGTGCACAGGGCAAGGACAAGCTGCCTGCTTCATGGCTGGGGGCTGCATCAGGCTGTTCCCAACAGGGGGCCTGGGCCAGAGCTGTGCTTGGTACCAGGTGGGCAGCAGTGGTGCTAGGAGATGGGTGGGCTGCAGCAACCCCAAGATACACAGTATTGCTCCCCCGCAGCACCACCACCTGCCCCGAGTACAGCCCTGGCCTAGCCCCCCCTGCCAGGAAGAGGCCAGCACAGGCCCCGATCCTGAAGTGGGAAGCCCACCCTTGCCCCACACACAAATCCTGGGGGCACATGCCCCCCCATGCATCTCCTGGGGTTGCATGCAGCACTAGAAGTGCTCCCCCCAACCCCCAGACATGCTGCCCACAGCTCCATTACATGCCCCACCCTGGCCCGCCCCAGCTGAGCAGTGCCTGCCCCTGCCCCACTCCCTTCCTTACCGTGGGGACCTTGATCTGCCCTTCCATACCCCTTCCTCCCCACAGACTTCCCAGCCGGATACAGTGTTTTCAGCGCCTTTTTGTAGGGGGTGAACTGACACGCTCAGGGGGTGCACATACACCTCCGTGCATCCCCTATGTGTCACCCCTGCACCGCAGGCTGTAAGGTCAGGGTGTGGCAGCAAGGGCTGCTGGCTCCCACTGGGGAATCAGAATTTTTTTTCATTAACTTTTTTTTTAAGCTGATTTGACAGACAATCCTGGATTTCACAGTTTCTGTGAAATTGTAAATTGACCCAACCCCTAACCAGACATACTTGTTCACATGTGGATTTTAGAGGCCTGTATCTATGCATTAAAGATTGAAAAATATGACTTGGGAAGTTACATCATTTCCCTGTACTTTGCTGTTCCCTGCAGCCTGAAGAAGGAAGCTGAAAAGAAACACAGAAAACAGCATCAGCCCACACCGAGTCTGGGGGGGGGAGGTACCAAATTGCCAACTGGGGGGGTCCTCCAATGGCAGCCAATCGCCAAGCCAGCAGCAAAAATGGAAGTGTGCTTCCAGTTTCATGGTTGGCACTTCTAGGTGGTACATGGCCGATCTCAGGGGACACACGTGCACCCGTGTGCACCCCCTATGTGTTGCCAATGCCTCACACAACACTAAGCAGGGAAGCAGTAGCGAGTGATTGCAGTGATGCCTTGGTGCCAAAAGAAGTGGAAACAAAGTAGAGCTTTGAGGGGCACTTGGCACTGGATGGAGAACTTCAGCTCACTTCACATACTGCTCACCAAACATATATGATACAATAATGACTTTCAGTTAGTTTTACCATGGGCTATATTTGATTTGGCAGTATATCATGTGTTATCAATACCTTGAGCTGTCCAGAGTCCAATTCTGATACTTTATGTGCCAAATACTACGTGCCAAACACTTAACTGCAGGCTGATTAAAACTAAGTCAACTAATGAGAGACATTAACAAGAATTAGGCAAATTAAGGAAAGGTTTTTATACAAAAGCTAAAATCAGCAGGCTGAGGAAAGGAGTTAGAAAACCTAAGTATTCCGCCCAGTCGTGTTACTGGTTTGCAGAATGACCCTGAGCAGGATAGTTCTTTGAAAACTGGAAATAGCAATGAATATTCCTTTTTTTTTTTTTTTTTGTATTTTCAGACTGAAGAATAACAATCATAAGATAAATGCTAAGCTTTACTGCTAATTACAATTTTAAGAATACTTTACTGTTGTTATTCCATGCAACAAGTGCACAAAATAGACATAGTGAACCTACCTTCTTGAAGCTGTATTGGTTCTGCTGAATTTTCACCACTCATTAAGACAACAAAACCTGTAGCTGCTCGGACTGTAGCTTGCCAGGTTGACATGGCAACTGGTGGTTCCTGGCACGGAAAAAGAGCTCTGTTGTTTAGTGGTGATCCCATTGTATAAACACAAGGCCTATAAAGAGAAGAAAAAGGTAAAGAATTTAATCGTTTTTTCTTATTGTGGAATTTGCAATAGTAAGAGGTGAGTAGAGTTTCTATTACAAAGAGAAATTCAAACCTGCTAACTGGTTTTCAAAATCTCAGTTATCTTGGTTTCAGTCTAAGACAGTGGTGCCAATCTTTTCCCCCCATAGGCCAGATGGACAGTGTCCCATCCCTCTGTGGGCCAGATCTAGCTGTTGGTCCCCATCCAGCACCCATGAGGGGCATAGCAGGGGGGCTGGGAGGCAGGTGGTGGCTGTCCCCAAGCCAGCCCTGCAGAGGAAGGGGGTATGGTTTGGCTCCACAGGGGAAAGGGGATATTTGTATGCATATGTATGTATATATATGTATATCATGTTTTGGGGAAAAAAAATCGTGAAGACAGCAATTAGGTTTTAGTGGCTAAGATCTATAGAAGTGCTGAGCCTCTCCTATGAAGTTCCTAAATTTGCTGAATTTATTCACTGAATCCTTTCACTAAGGCTGAGTTCCTCCTGTAGAGCAGGAATAAACTGGAAGATTTCAACTGCATAATAGTACAGAGGAAAGATTTCTTGAGGCTATATCAAACGTTTACGTCAAATGTGTCAACCTTTCTTCTGAAAAGACAGAAAAGGTCTACTGAATCCTGAATTAGTGAGGACATGTTTAACTCAATAACTGCCTTTGCCTACAGGTGGCACTATGAATTATACACCCTATATCTGAAAGCAGAAATAGTATAATCAACACTCATATGGTTCTGTGCTGAGGCTAATTAGGTCAGCCTCTCTAACCCACCAAGAATACTGCACTAAGGCTGCTATGCAGCTGTTGATTTGCAAGGTAGTGTGCGTGCAATATTGTGACATGTTTCAGCACTGCTCAGAATCTTCTAAAATGTGACCTCTTGACAACCAGACATCCACTAGAAATATATGTGTCTAAAAATATATATATGTCAGAAAAAGGAACAGTGCACAGAACAACCCCTTCCCAGAAAGCATTTTAGTTGCCAGAAGGCACTCATTCCCTTTAAGATACCCTTTCTTCCCCAAGAGAGTAGAAAAGAAATAGTTGACTAACTAGTTATCCTAGGGCCATGGTTAGGATATCTAAATTCCAGGATCTAGGAGAACAGGACTATCAGCCTATTCTCACAATATACAGAGCAATACAATTTCATAGGATCCTAGGAAAGTAGGGCTAGAAAAGACCTTGTGGCTAGGGACTGACATTTGAAAAGCCTGACCCTGAATTGATTCAATCTTTTCAGGTTAGTTTAATCTGGCTAGGCTGAAGTGGTTTGTAACTGGACAGACATTCTCTCTGGACTCAGGAACTTCAAGCACATGCCTGCAGTGGTTCAGTCTAGAAGCCGAGGGTGCTAGAGCAGCCCCCCCTTCCTTTACACAATGCTGCGCTGGGTGGGGGGCATGGCCAGGCTCTGGCAGGACCTCTAACTAGGAAGCTCTGCTTGCACCATCCAAGGCATTTCCCCACTGGCTGCTCAAGGGGCAGAAGCGTTGCCAGACCCCAGACCCCTGCTAGCACTCTGAGGCATGGGGGGTGTGCAGTGTATGCATCTGTTGATGATATGGAGCTTCTCTATCTCCCTCCATGCTTCTTTATATTGTCTGCAGCAAACTTTATACTGTCTGCAGCAAGCCAGCAGGGGGATGATAACCAGGGATCTGGGTTTTCCATTTCCCATGGAAAAACAGAGACAACCATGGATTCCCTGTTTTTAATCAGGGAAAACACGGATTTCCCCTTTTAGCAGAGAAATCCATGGATTCTCCACTTTTGCAAAGAGCTCTTGCAGGCAGGCACAGTTCCAGCCTGCGAGAGCGAACTGCAGAAAGGGCACAAAACCCTTAGCCCTGCCTGGAGGGGAAGGGCAGGGCCTGAGCCTCTGAGTCAGCCAAGGCTGCGCTCAGGCTTAGACTCACTCTTCATCCCTGGAGCCTGGAGGTAAGTGGGGCTTGGATGTTGGGGGTTGGGGGAAGGTGGCTGAGGGAGCTGGGGGCACCACTGGCCCCAGGTGGCATGCTGCAGTGCCTCCCTGCCCCCCACCCCAGGAGCAGGGCCAGGGGTGAGAGCAGGGGTGCCCCTCTGTGGGCCATATATGCACCAGCCAGTCAGGTGGGTTCGCACACAGCAGCCACCACAGCAACTCTGCTGCCACGCCCCACGCTGCCTTCCCACAGCTGGCCACATGGCTTTGTGGGCAAGTGGCGCAGGGTGCGGCAGCAGTGGTGCAGTGGTGGCTGCTGCTTGCGGGCTGCACACATGCCGGCTGGCCAGCAGGGGCGGGAGGGGGTGGCTTGCATGTGACAGCCACTACCACACTGCTGCTGCTACCCCACAGCTGGGTGCATGGCTCTGTGGGCACGGCTCCATGGCGGCAAGGGTTGGCAGCTCTGGCAGCTGTGTGCCGGCGGGGGGCGGGGCAGTTCATATGCTGCCATTGCTGCCGCTCACCTGTGGAGCCATCTCTGCAGAGCTGTGCAGCCGGCTGTGAGGCAGCAAAAGTGGTGCAGTGGCGGCTGCAGCCACTGCATGCAAGCCCCCTGTCTGCAGGCACAGCTCCTCAGACAAGCAGCAGCAGTGGTGTGGGATGGTGGTGGTGGCTGCTGCATGCCAGCTGGCGGAGACAGGGAGGGGGTTTCACATATGGCGGCCGCCACCACGTCGCACCACCGCTGCCACTTGTCTTCAGAGCTGTGCCTGTGGCCACTGCATGTGAGCCCCTTTCCCACCCCAGGCAGCACACAGCCACTGCAGCCACCACCCTGAACTGCTGCAGAGCCATACAGCTAACCATGAGGCACAAGCTACACTGCACTAGCAGTCACCACATGCGAGCCTCCCCCTCCCTCCCTCCCTCCCCTGCTGGACAGCCAGCACGTGCAGCCTGTATGTGGAACCCACCACCGCACTGCCGCTGCTGCACCCCGCACCACCTGCTTGCAAAGCTATGCAGCCGGCCATGGGAAGGCAGCATGAGGCACAGGGGCAGAGTTGTGATGGTGGCCACTGTGTGCAAACCACCCCCATCAGGCCAGGCAGCGTGTGTGTAGCCCACAGAGGGGCACTCCTGCCCTCATAACCTGGCCCTCCTCTTGGGAGTGGGCACAAGGGCACGCTCCCCCTCACTTTATGATCTGGTCCCCCAGCACCTTCCCTTCTCCCCACATACTTACCTGCTGGGGTGAATGTCAGTGTCTGTGCCTGTATGTGTGGAGCTGGGGGGCTGTTATGGGGGAGTGAGGGGCATCAGGAGACCTGAGGAGGCTGGGGTGGGTGGAGTGAGGGGCACCAGTAGTGCGGGGGTGGGGTGCTGTAGGGGACCTTTAATTTTAATTATGGTTTGGGGGTTTTTAAATCAGAGAATTCACTGTTTTTAATCATAGAAAACCAGGATCCCTGCTGATAACTGTGTTTATCGCCTCATCAGCAAAACAATAGCCTCTCTCCATTAGTTCAAACTCTTTATAAAGCTTACCAGCTGACCTGTTAATTAGCTCCAAAAAGCCCTAAGCAGCCACTTTTCTGTCTGCCTGTCCCAGTGAAATTGGAGACACGCACACACAGACACCTCTAAGCATTGCGGGGCTGGAGTCCGTGCTATGGGAGATGGGAGGGAGGAAGAGGGGAATCCCTGCTAGTCCAGCAAACAGCAAGAGGGAGGAGGGAAGGGCAGGGGGAAGCCAGGCAGACCCTGCTGTACTTGCAGTCTGTGCAGGAGCTGCAACCAGGGAGCAAAGGGGAGGGGCCAGCCCTGCTGTGAAGCAGAGAGCCCTGCCCAGCCCAGAGACCATACCGGGATGCTGGGGGAGTCTGGTTTATCTTAAACCACCAAGGGGTCTGGGATAGACATTGAATAAACCAGTTTGAGCCAAATCAGTTAAGTATGATACTACATTCAGCCAGGTTTATCTCAAACCGGTTTCAGCCATTTTCAAATTGATTTATGTGTACTAAACACCTGTTCTGTTACAGGTTTAAACCAATTTCTAATCACTTAAATCAGTGTATGTGTAATGGCTATCCCTAGCCCATGAGGTCATCTAATCCAGCCCCCTGATCATCCCTGAATAAAACATCCCAGCCAAGTGTCTATCTAACCTGCTCCTGAAACCATCCAAGGATGGAGATTCCACAATTTGGCATATTGTTACTATTAATTTTTATTTACATTAATGTTACTAGGAAGAGGACTGCCTCA